GATTTATATGACCGAGCCAGGATTTGAACCCTGGTCTCCAGAGTTGTAGCTCAATACTCAAACCACTACACCACTCTGGCTCTTACAGCTATATTAGATATACTATGTTATATATTATATTATATATAATAAATATATTATAATGTGTGTGTGTGTGTGTGTGTGTGTGTGTGTGATGTTGTTGTGTGCCTTCAAGGCGTTTCCAACTTAAGGAGACCCTAAGGTGAAGCTATCATGGAATTTTCTTGCCAAGTTTCATCCAAAGGGGTTTACCATTGCCATCCTCCATGGTTGAGAGAGTGTGACATGGTCAGGATCACCCAGTGAGTTTCATGTTAAAGTGGAGAGCCAAACTCCCAATGTCCAGAGCCCTAGTCCTATGCTGAAACCACTACCCCATGCTATAGAACTTACAGTGGCATGAAACTGCATTACTTCTACAGTGTAGAAGGTCCTTCTTATGGCATTTGCTTTGTAAAACTAAAAATCCCAGTGTTCCATAGGATGGAGCAGTGGCCTCAAACTGCATTGTTTTTACAGTGTAGATGCATTCTGGAACTCCCTCCTGAGAGAGGTTAGACTGGTATGCTCCTTGTTATCTTTCTGCAGGCAGGTGGTGATGATGATGATGATGATGATGATGATGATTTCATCAGGCTAAGGGAACTGGGCCCTGCAGAATTATGCTGTACATTCTATCTGTATTCAATTTGGGGTTGTTTTTTCATAGTTGTGTGTGTGTGTGTGTTTAACTGGTATATTTTATGGATAGTTTAATTATATTTTTAACTTTTATATTTAGTATATTGTTTTGCCATGTCTCTTTTAACATCTGTAAGATGCCTTAAGTCCCAAACTGGGAAAAAGGAGGATATTGATAATAATGATGATGATGATCAGTGACCATTGCTACACAAATTTTGCCTTACATTGATATTTGCTATTGTTGTTGTTGTGTGCCTTCAAGTCGATTCTCATAGTGAACTTCTCATAGCTTTTCTTAGCAAGATTTGTTCAGAAGGATTTGCCTTTGTCTTCCTCACAGAAAAATAGAGGCCATCCACTCCATCCCCTGCCATGCAGGAACTCACAATCAAAGCACACCCCCCCAACAGATGGCCATCCAGCCTCGGTTTAAAACCTTCCAAAGAAGGAGACTGCACCACTTTCCGTGACAGCATATTCCACTGTCGAACAGATTTTACCATCAGGAAGTTGTTCCTAACATTTGGGTGGAATCTCCTTTTCTGTAGCCTGAAGCCATTGCTCCATGCCCTAGTCTCTGGAGCAGCAGCAAATAAGCTTGCTCCATCCTCAACATGACATCCCTTCAAATAATTAAACAGGGCTATCATGTCACTTCTTAACTTTCTCTTCTCCAGGCTAAATCAGAGGTTGAGAGAGTGTGACTTGCCCAAGGTCACCCAGTGGGTTTCCGTGGTCGAGCAGGGATTTGAACCCTGGGTTCGAGAATCATAGTCCAACATTCAAACCACTATGCTGTGCTAATAAATACAAGTAAAAACATTTGTAGGCAAACACTTAAAGAGAAGTAAGATTAAGGTGAGAGAATAAGATGAGTAAAGGAAGGTAGATATCATGGGCATAGAGCAAAAGTGGAATAGAAATATATAGTAGGTAAGAACTAGTTTAAGTATAATTAGAATAGTGTAAGATTTATGATAACAGGAGGTATAAGTGGATGTTTATATTGTAGTAATGTATGCTTGTTTTTCATGAATAATTGTGGAATAAAGATTGAAGGGGGAAGAAAAGAGGTAGGATTAAAATGATATTAAACTGTGTGTAACATTTGAAACGTAGATTTAAGCCAATGGTTCTCAAACTGAGTTGCTCAAGGATGGGAATCCCTTCTCCTCCTCTTCTTCCTGGACTTTATATTTAAAATTTACACATGTGTGGAATTAAATATTGACTTTATTTGAATAAATCTGTTCTAAGTTAAACAAGATTTGACATGGAGGCCCTGATTCCCTCCTCCTCCTCTTCCCAGACTTTATATGTAAAATTGACACATGTGTTGAGTTAAATATTGACTTTATTTGAATAAATCTGTTCTAATTGGAACAATGCTATTTCCTTACACAGTGTTAAAATATAAATATACATGATTGTGCACATTAAACAAACAAAATATTTTTATTCATATATTACATCAAGTGGCATCCGCATTTAGATTTAAAGGGGGGAATCCCATGTGTAAAAAGTTTGAGGACCACTGATTTAAGCATCTTCAATTGGCAGGGCAGGGCCATCCTCTGTCAAGCCTTTCTTGAGAGATTTATTTTACGATTTTATAAAGAATAAATGGATTTAACTTGATTTCTGTGGAGGGTATGGCAGGCATTCAAACCCTGATCTCCATAGTTGTAGGCTACATCCACACTGCAGAAGTAGCCCAGGTTGACACCACTTTAACTGCCGTGGCTCAATGCTATTGAATTTTGAGAATTGTAGTTTGTCGTGGCACTGGAGCTCTCTCAGAGAGAGAAGGCTGAATGTCTCAAAAAACTACAGTTCCAGAATTCCATAGTATTGAGCCATGGCAGCTAAAGTGGTGTCAACCTGGATTATTTCTGCAGTGCGGATGCAGCTGTAGTCCAGTGCTGAAACCACAGTGGATCAAGGCAGGTTGGCTTAGCACTTTAAGGCTATTTAGTATATAAAAATAAAGCATAATATTCCCCGTCTACCCCAAAAAAGACAATGTCTCGCCTCTAACTACCTCTAATTTTAGCTAATTTGTTATTTCTTTTGCTTTTAATTAGTATTTTATATTTCTATTCATTTGATATTGTTATTGCTTTTAGTTTTTTTCTTTTTCTTTTTATGATTGGGAGGGGGGTTCAGATTATTTAGAAATCTGGTTTGAATTGTATATTGTATTTTATTGTTATTC